GTAAAAATAGCAGCCCCAAAGGGGTGAGAAAAATCCCAGTAGTGTGGCAACAAAACCAGTAATGCAACAGTACTAACTAAATACAGAATTACAAAGCAGCTGCATCATCAGTTCAGATCCATCAAATACTAATCATAATCAGAGTGCGTATATAACGCCAGAAGTGTACGTTCATAGCACTACGGTGCACGTATCACTGAATCATAATCATAGTGCGTATATAACGCCAGAAGTGTACGTTCATAGCACTACTATGCACGTAACACTAACAGATACAGTGGATTATCCTGGGTGGCTCCAACAGAAGGATTCCAACTGTAACCTATGCGGACGGAAGCCAAGTGTCCCCTGCCCTGGTACCGAGGTATGCCTATATGATGCGTGCTCAATCGTATGCATATTTATATAAATATTCTAGTCCATGTGCAACATGAAATTTGTGCATGTATGCCATGATATGCTTCACACACAAAAGAAACAAATGCATTATGAGGTGTATATGCATGACTAGATAATAATCAAGATACATATATCTCATGTATTCCAATATCAGAATGCTGTATAACAATTATTCTCCTCAACAGAATATCCAGCATATTATATCCATGAACAGAATACGAATATCGTATACAGAATCCAGATCCAAAACATGAGAGCAACAGTTCACAATCCATGTACTAGCCAGCAGTCACAAAAGGTAATACCACCTAACACATACCTCACACGTCACAGTTTATTTACCAAGCAGCAGCAAAACAGTCCGCGCTCTTAATGTTTATGCCCACCTAAGTACAGTACAGCAAGTCAGAATCACGTGCTAATTTTCTATACGTACACAAGACACTTCTCTTTTTCTTTTTATTTTCCTAAACTCTTACTTCCCATTCTATTTTGCCAAGTTTCCTTCCTAATACTAATTCTGACTTTACAAAAGCTTTACCAATATTTAATAGTCAACAACCCAACGTTTAACACCCCAAACAGAAACGGTCTTTTAGCATATACATGGCTTATATCATTTATTCAGAGATTTAACTCTACAAGGCCATGTTTGCGTGAAAGAGAACCTAATAACATGCTGTCTATTTATTTAATTTCATGTGAAATCTGAAGTACAACAGGAGTCTTACCCAAAACAGGCCCACGACTTTAATAGACACCCCTCTCCAAATTTATTACTTATTTTTCTTTTTGTTTCCAAGCTAGCGTCCAAGTGATTCATGTAGGCAGAATCAAAAAGATAAAAATTTAAGGAACTAACTCCCTAAGCATGCTAGACAATACCGAACGGAGATGGGGAGAGAGGGTTCTAAATCTGAGTTTACCTTATAGAGTACACTCTTAAGCCAAGATTAAAACAAGGAGCAGCACTTAATCCTTCCAATGCTCCAAGAGAACAAGTTCAGCCTTTCAAGGTGTTGGCCGAGCGCACAAAGAGAAGGGGGGAAGATGAAGGTCTATGCTCAATCGTGCATGCAACGAAGGTTTCCTCTTATGCTCCAAGGCTTCGGCCTTTGATTCCATGCAAACAGAACAGTTTCCATCAATGCTAATCAAAAGGTGTAAGAACGTGGAAAGAATGAACACCTTACCTTAAAGAAAGGAAGAGGAAATGCTACGAGTCTTGGGTTTGGCTCAAAGAGCTCACGGTTCTAGTAAGATAAGGGAATAAAGTGTAAATTCTTTCTTGAGGTTTATCACTCTATGGTGTTCACGGCTTGAGGAGGCAAAGAGGGAGAGATGTACTATGGTTTGTTTTCCTTACTAGGTACCAACGATCTTGAGAGAATGACATGAGGAGGTTGGAAGAATAAAGATGAAGTTTTCTCTTTTCTCTTGTTAGTGATGCGTAGAGGAGTAAGGATGTTGAGTAGACTTTCTTTTGTCTTGGTGATTCACGGACGTATGAGGTGAGACTATTTCTTGGAGATAGTAAGAAGGTGAATTCTTAATCAGAAAGGTGTTTGGCCGTGAGATAGGGAAGGAAATCCAAGTTTCATCTTAATGCCTATGTGTCGCGCATGCAAAGAGGTTGAAGATTTTTGGTTGCCACTTGGTTAACACTCATAGGCCGATTTGGTTTTGTTTAGAACAACAAGCAATTAGATTTTTGCTGCCCAAGGTAGCGCTAGATACAAGGGAAATAAGGGTTGAGTTGGTTTTGTACAAAGAAACAAGCAAGGTCAGCTTTTTACCTCCCCAAGGCGCGTGAAAAGAAGGAAAAGAAAGGCTAATTGGGTTGTTCAATAAGAGGCTAAGTCAGAATTTCCTTTTGCTTTTACTCTATCCTAGGCGTACAAAAGAGGGAAACAAAGATGGGTATGATTGTTTAGAAACGTGTGATCAGATTTCTTTCTCCTACCTATGCGCCTAGAAGGAAAAGATTAAAGTGGTTGATGTCTTTTTAGCCAATAAAACACATGCATGCTGACTTCTTACTTCCCATAGGACGCATGCTAAGGCCTAGGTAGCTAAAGTTTGTCTATTGCTACAAGCAATCAGCTTGTTATAGGTTCCTTTCCATGCGCACATGTGAGGGAAAAAGCAAGGGTGTGGTTTGTTGCCATGTGGGGATTTCCATCCAATCAAGGGCTGCCTAAAGGGATCCTTAAGATGAGATCATGACAACAAGATTTAGGGCTAAACCAAAACCCTCCACATGCCATGTGGGCCGTCGACCTATAGGTGAAGTGTGAGTCCAAAACTTTTAAATCCAATACTTTAGTTATTAAATGACCAGCCCATTATTTTATAGTCCCCAAGTCTTTTAAATTTCCTTAACCCTTTGTAAATGTCATTATTACTTTATTCCTACATCTTCTGCTAAAGTTTCACATGCCTTAATAAATTCTCACCTATAATTATAATTTAATAATTCCCTACTCAGTATTAATTCCATCTTAATAGCTATATAATCCGACATCAAAGCCTGTGATGCACATAACTCGAATTTAACATCATATCCATAATCCTCATAACAATTTATATATTTTTCCTAATTATGTGGGATGTTACACCTTGATTCTCCAGAGTAATTCATTTTCTATCCTTACACTGCCCAACCTTATACTACGTCGCCTTTTAACAACAGACAGATTCATATCTCCGAAAGCCTCAAATAATTTCAACTCTTCAATCATCAAAGTTGCGGTGTGCAGAGTCTTTCGACTCAGAGCGTCAGCGACCACATTCGCCTTGCCGGGGTGGTATTTAAGTTCAAACTCGTAATCTTTCAAAAATTCCATCCACCGGCGTTGCCTTATATTCAACTCCTTCTGGTCGAATAAGTACTTCAAACTCTTATGATCACTGAATACATCGAACTGCGAACCATACAAATAATGCCTCCATATCTTCAGTGCGAACACTATGGCTGCTAACTCCAGGTCGTGAGTTGGATAATTTTCTTCATGAGACTTCAATTACCGAGAGGCATAAGCTACGACCATACGATCCTGCATCAAGACAACACCAAGTCCTTTCAATGACGCATCACAGTATACTTCAAATTTCCTAGTTGGGTCTGGAATGGTAAGGATTGGAGCACTAGTCAATCTATTCTTCAGCTCCAGGAAACATTCTTCACAATCTTCGGTCCACTCGAACGGCACATCCTTCCGAGTGAGACGAGTGAGAGGTTGTACCAATCGCGAGAAATTTTGAATAAATCTCCTGTAATAGCCTGCTAACCCCAAGAAACTTCGTACCCCAACAGTTATGGGTTGTTCCCAATTCATTACAGCCTCAACCTTACTGGGATCAACGACAATACCTTCTGCTGAAATTAAGTGGCCCAAGAACTGGACTTCACTGAGCCAAAACTCACACTTAGACCACTTTGCATACAATTGCTTCTCCTTCAAAATTTGCAAGATGATCCTCAAGTGTTCCGCATGCAGTTCTTCGTTGACAGTGTAGATCAGGATGTCATCTATGGCGGAAAATGCGGTTCATATAATCCATAAATACCGCCGGAGCATTCGTAAGTCCGAACGGAATCACCTGATATTCGTAATGCCCATATCGAGTTCTAAAAGCTGTTTTCGAAATATCCTCCGGTTTTACCCGGATCTGATGGTATCCCGATCGTAGATCTATCTTAGAAAATACTCTGGCACCTCGCAGCTGATCCATCAAATCATCGATCCTCGGTAACGGATATTTATTCTTCACAGTCACCTTGTTTAGTTGACGATAGTCCACACACAGACGTAGACTACCATCTTTCTTCTTGATCAAAATTGCTGGTGCACCCCACAGAGAGGTACTAGGTCTTATGAATTCCTTTGCCAACAGTTCTTCTATTTGCTTCTTTAACTCTCGGAGTTCCAAAGGTGCCATGCGATACGGAGCAATGGAGATAGGTCCAACTCCGGGAATAAGTTCAATGGAAAATTCTATTTCCCTCATACTCCAAAAGAACGCCTCTGCAAATTTCTGAGGCCGTACAGGATTCTCCCGTAGGAGTACTGATTTGTAATTCATAGGGTAGTGGAGCTGGGGTGATACCTATCTTCATAGCTATATATTTTGCCATAAACGAACCAGATGCTCCAGAATCAAAAATAGCAGAAATAGGTCATCCGTTAAGAATTATGTTACCTCGAAAATGATTTGAATATTTTTGGGCCTCATTAGCATCAAGGGTGAACAACCGAGCTTGTGCAGGTTGCTGGTTAACCTTATTTTGGCAATTAGAAGCGAAATGTCCTGGCTGACCGCATCTGTAACAGGTGTTGCTTCCACGTAAACAGACTCCAGCATGACTCTTTCCACAAACGACACAAACATTGGAACCCTAACGTTCTGTCGATGAATGACCAGGGGCATTGTTCCTCTTGAAACTCCCAGCCTGAGCCTGCATCTGCGGACCCTTTCCTTTGTTCATCCCGGTGATCTTCTTGAAGAATTTGCCCACTCTGTTTCCTCCCTGCTGTTGCACCGGTTTCCTGTTCAAATTCCTTGCTTCAGCGATAATGTCCTCCGCCTGCCGACTCTGATTAATGATTTCTGGTAGAGTACGAAGCTGTGGTCAACATGAGCTTTCGGATCTCCGGGTGCAATCCGCTTTCAAATTTCTCCACCTGCCATTCTTCATCATAGATATTCCGGTCAAAGTTTGCATATTCCATTAGTTGAGCAAATTTAGCAATATATTCATTAACGGTCATGCTTCCTTGCCTCAGCGACAGCAGCTCTGTGTGTTTCATTCTTCTCATCGCCTTTGGAAAATACTTATCCAGAAAGACCCGTCGGAATACAGCCCAAGTTAATTCAATATGTTGGGCTTGAAGCAGAGCCCTTGCACCGGTCCACCAAGTTAAAGCTTCTCCCGTCAACTGATAGGAGGCATAATCAGGCTTCTGAGCCTCGGGGCATACCATTCGTTCAAATATATGTTCGATCATTTGCAGCCATCTTGCTGCAGTCTCAGGATTGTCTCCACCTTCAAAGATAGGTGGTTGAAAGTTGCGGAAGTCTTTCAACCTCCGTCGGGCAATTTCCTCAGCATTGTCATACATCTAAGGTTGAGGCATCTGGGGTTGACCAAGATTCTGTTGTCTATAATCCCGCCACTCCTGACTCATGTTCTGGACAAAAGTGGCCAGTCCCCCAATGGTGGTGATAAGGTCTTCATCTGCATTGCTAGGTCTTCCCCGAGTAGAACCACGGTTACCTGCCATGTTTTTGCACTCACAATATCACGAAATGAGCTGATCAGACTCACTCAGGTTATTTATGACAGCAATTCCAAGTAGGTACTCGAGTTCCAATCGGATAAGTTAACAATGCATATGTCCCTTATCATCGAATAATTCTAACAGTCTAGCTATACAATTCACATATTTCTAGCAATTTAAACAATTAATCATACAACAATCAGCAAGTATTTAACAATCCATTACAAACAACAAACAATTCATCAAGCAACAAACAATTTCAATCAGAAAATAAACACCATGAATCAAAACTGCTCTGATACCAATTAGTGTAACACCCTCCCTTGTATGCATCCAAGAGAGTCGTTTGCTAATCGTTATTAGAGTTGCGGAATTTTGTGAAGAAGCTTTTTCTTTAAAAATCTTTGAGGAAATGTAGTGGAAAGCTGAATCTAAGGAAAATTTTGATGGAAAGAACTTAAAATGTGTTACTGATGAAAACGGTGAAAATTTAAGAAAAACCGTATTCCTTTAAATATTGATATAAAATCGAGCTTTCAAAATCTGTTTGCATAGTTGTTATAATCTGGAAGTAGACGCTTGGGGCTTCGCGTGCATATAAAATAATAGAGAATCGGAGGTCGTTTACTATACTAAATATAACTTTTAAAGTGCTCGCATGGCTGTCAAAAATTCAGCACTTAATTAAACGTAATAAATTGTTTTCGCAAAATGTTTTTTTTTTTTTAATTTTCCCTAAAATACTTGCTGCTCAAAAAGTCTTCAACATGCAGTAAAATCATAGTTCCAACAATCATCCAGGCATACCAAAATATCTAAAATAGTACAGTCATCCATTAAATAAACAGCAACAGCAAAAGTCCAAGCAGCAAATAACAGCAAATAGCTATGTCTTCATATGCTCTTCCGTCCTCCTGCCATTTTGTAAAAATAGCAGCCCCAAAGGGGTGAGAATAATCCCAGTAGTGTGGCAATAAAACCAATAATGCAAAAGTATTAAACTAGGCACAAAATTATAAAACCGTCGCATCAACATTAACTTCATTTCTTGATAAACATCATCATATATCATAGTGCGTATATAACGCCATCTTTACGCTCATAGCACCGTCGTGCGCGTACAAACACAGTGGAAATTCAATGCATGGCACCCTCATTTGGTGAATTCCACAATGACCTATGCGGATGGATGCCAAGTGTCCCATACCCTGGTACCGAGGGATGCCTATATGATGCGTGCTCAGTCACATGTCCTTATATATATATTCTAGGATGTCCTTATATATATATTCATCATTTCATATCCTTACCGTTGCCACATCATAATCATAAAATAACATGGAACATATGTGAGCAACACTTCAAAATTTCATACACTAGTTAATAATCACATTAGGTAATACCACCTAACACATACCTCGTACGTCAAAATTTAATTTACCAATAAGCAGTGAAACAGTCCAACGTCTCAAGGATTTTTCGCACCTAAATTAGAGGCATAACAAATCAGCATACGTTTCACTTTAATTTAATAATTTGGCAGCAAAACCTCAAGCTTACATGTCCTTATATCACTCGGCCATATAGGTTCTTTTTCTAAAATTATTTTTGACTCTCATTTAACCTTCTTTAACGCTAAACAGTGAGGAAAACAGTGAGTATTTTCACTCAAAACAGTGAGCAAATCAGTGGACGTTTTCACTTAAAACAGTGAATAGAACCAACATGCAATAACAATTTTATTTTAGTGAAACAGTGAGCGTTTTTCAACAAAACAGTGAGCATTTTTTAGCAAAACAATGAGGAAAAACCAACATTCAGTGACGGTTTTTTATCAACATCCAAGGAAAAAATTCCAAAATTCACAAAATCTTTATGTACATAGCTCTACCAAGAGAGTATACAAGCTACCTTTATTTCTTTTCTTCATAAAGGTTCATGATTCCTTTATTACTACCAAACAGTCCCATGTTTATACTAAGGTTAGTTCCAAGTTAACTTCTTTATGTTTGCTAACCATGGCTCAAAGAATCAACATGGCAGGATTTAAAAGAGCCAAACAATAGATAAGAAACTACTCTCCTAGACATGCATTTAGGTTGGAACGGAAAAAGGAAGAGAGGATTTTTGGTGCCTACCTCACGCAACACACAAGGAGTTCGAATCAAAACAAGTAGCACCTTAGCCTCCTAAGCCCTACGAACGTCAAGCTCACCTCTTCATGATGAAGACCGTGCGCACAAGAAGGGAAAGGAAAATTGCTTAAGTTAGTATCCACATGCGAGGGAATATCTTCATCAACCAACCGTGGAAAAGGAAAATAAGGAGGGAACCACTTCTTACCTCCTTAGACACTTATGCGCAGCTGTACCAAGAGAGGAGAAAACGTTGAGCTATCCTAGCTTCTAGCTCATTGAGCTCTCGGTCACAACTTAGGAGAGTAGGAAGAAAAGGTTGCTCAAAATAATAAGTTGGTTGAAAGAGTCCCGTAGGGGAAGGCCTCAGTTTTATATTTTTTGTAAGAAGAAAAGATGATGGCTACACTTCCTCTCTTGATGACACAAGGTCACGGTTTTGTTAGGATGAAGGGATTTTGACTCTGGTTCTATGTCTCTTATGATGTTACGGTTTAAGGAGGAAGGGGTGATGGTGTTTAAAATTTTTTGAAGAACTTTGTGGTGATTACTACTTCACGGTCCAAGAGAAAAATATGAGAGAAGATTTGCAACTTCCTAGCTTTCTTTCACCTCCATTTAGCGCTTAAAATAGAGGGATAAGATGAATAAAACACTTGAAACTTTTTCTCCTCTTTACACGCATCAAAGGAAAAGTTGTGTGCAGAATTTTGCCCAATGGAGTAACATGCAGGCTGCTCTTTTTGGTGGTCATTGGTTGCATGGTTTAAAGTGGAAAAGGTTGGAAGGTGTAGCAAGTTATCAGCCCTTGGTCTACTTCAGCGCATGGGAAGGGAAATGTAAGTAGTGATGCTGACTACTTTTTGGGAGGAAAACAACAAATGCTCAGCCTTGTTGCCAAGCCCTAAGGGCATGTGACGCTGAATAGGAAAGAGTAATGTTGACATGTGGGGATCACTAACCAATGAAGCTTTGCCTTGTGGATTTCTTAAGATAACTAGAGGGTAGAATGGAGAAATTTGGGCTGAACCCTAACCCTTTCAAAGTCACTTGGGCCAGCGGCCTACACAAGTGATTAGGGTCAAAAATTATTTAATTCCTAATGTTTTATGTGTCCAAAGATCAGCCCAAGAGTTAGTAAGCTTCCATGCCTTTAAATATTTTAAGTTTCTTCTAAATGTTACTACTAAATTTATGGTTCCACATGCTTAACATAATTTATCATTTATTATGACAATTCAAGCACTTTCTCTAGCACATTATGGATTCCCCACTACTAATCATATAATTCGAAAACCAACCATATGTTCCATGTAATTCGAATTATCAAAATGTCTTCTTATGCCCTATAGTATATTATGTATTTCCCCTAATTACGTGGGATGTTACAGAAAGCAATTTCAATGTTATTAATGCTTAGTGGGGTTGATTCACATTTCCAACGTCATTAATGTTTAGTGGGCTGATTAGAGTCTTTTCCTTTTCCAAGTTGTCAACTTTAAATTAGGGTCTTTTCATTTGCTAAGTCTTTTACTATTCTTGGAGGGATGTTCCAAGTATAAATAAGGGAGGATATAACTCTTGTAATCAGATTTTGGAAGTTATAATATAATATAGAGGTTTCTTCTCTTTGGTTCTTATCTAGAACTCTGAACTTATCAAGAAGTTTGTTCTTGTGGCGTTCAAACCAGACTTATCACTCACCTTCTTCTTTCTTGAGTGTGGCATCTTTATCCTTCTTATACCTTTGGTTCTTATCTTCCATAGATAACGGGTCAAAGTTCTTTATTTCTTGTTTTAAATTCCTGATTGTAGAAACGATCCTAACTAAATTGGTCTTTGGTCTCACTATTCTTGGTGAGGTTCATATCATTTGGTACCAAAGCTAGTCTTCTAAATCAGGTTTGATCTATCCTTTTATTTTATTGTTAACTTTTTTTTTATTTCTATTTCATTCTCCTTCTTGTGTCAACTATTCCCATTGGTATTGTTCAAAAAAAAAATCTTAGTATCTTCGGAAGCAAAAAAAAAACAAAGTCTTATTAGTATCTGCAGAAGCAAAAAAAAGAAAAAAAGAGGAAGAAAAAAAGAAAATCTAGTATCTTCAAAAGAAAAAAAAGAATAGGAAAAAAAAAACTCTGATCCAAATTCCTTGAAGTAAAACTTGTCTCTTTGAATTTTTTTTTTCAGTTTTGTTCTTTTCTATTCCAGTGTGTACTTCCCTTCTTAATTAATTTCAGTTATTGCTTAAAATTTATTGTCATTCCAACATTTCTTTACCCTTAATTCTTGACATCAAAAAAATATTCTCTTGTTCTTCTTGTCTCTTTGTATTACATCTTATGATCTGTTTGGATTTCTTCAAGAAAACTTCAATTGAGTTCAGCTAAGAACTAAAAAAGGGAATTCAAAAGAGGGGAAAAAGGCAAGAGTGTGTGAGCTTATAAGAGGGTAAAAGCCTAATTTTGAAACACAAGTGTGAGAGCTGTTAATTGGGAGAGAAACACGTGAGGGTGTGTTTGTGAGGATATTTTAACTTTTATTTTTTGCAGATTAAAAAAATGTCTTTTGAATTACCAATTGAAGGAGAGCTTTTATGATATGATCCCCAATAGGATTGGAGGAATGGATCTACTAGGAATGGAAAATTATAACTCCAAATTCAGCCGCCATCACGTACTGTTAAAAACAGAACGTATCTCACGC